CTCAACAATTAGATAAAAATGACTGAACTAAATCAAGACTGTGTGTTTGCTTACCCGAGATGGTAAGTGCTGCAATGTTACATAAGCATAAATCAATTAGAGCAAAATACACAACTGTAAAGAATAATGTCATTTGATATTAAATGAAGATTTAGGTGAAGTAATGGTAAATGGACTTGAGCTTGTATAACACTTTTCTAGTCTTCTAACTACTCAAAGCCCTCATACACTGCAGATCACACCTACACATTTGTGTATGTCGACGAACAGGAACAAGGACACACCGGACATGTTGATGCAGGAGTTGGGGATCGAACCTTCCGGTTGAGAGACAACCTACTCTACCAACTGAGCCACAGATGCCCCCTTTAGAAGAGAAGAGCGTCTCACCCACTTTGTCACAATGGGTGTGAACCTTCAGTGTAAAAGAGCTTTGCGCAGTCAGAAGACTAGAAGAGCGCCATACAAGCTCAATTCCATTAACCATTTACTTTGTATACAGTCTTTAGTGTCAGCTGTCATTACCCTGAACTGTATATTCATTATGAAAACACATTTGTTGTCATAACTAGCATTTGCTTAATAAATCTGGCTCTTGTCTGGCAGCAGATTAACCCAATAACTCTTTGTGGGGCCCTCTGACCTTCAAGAGGATTTAATGCTGGCAGTTATCATCATGCAGCTGTTTTCACTAAAACTTGCTAGAAAAGTTGTTTTATATGTAATTAATATTTTAATTTATTTGCAATATTCACAAAAGGCTATCTCTGAAACAACTCAAGTAACATTACAAATGTATGCTATATAAAAGAGCTGCTAGCATACAATCTTTATGCTAAATCTACTTATTTCCCCTGTTATAAATGAGAATTGAATCTAATCGAACTTGAACAACCCTACATCCTGCCACAGTTATCAAAAGTGGATGACAGCTTTGTCAACAAATGAGAGAAATTGTCATAGATCTCATGTTACATGTCAGGTCTGACCGCTTCTGTACATCTATGTGAAAGTCAAGTCAAATGCATTTGTGCTAATCCCCCCTGGCTATTCAAAATGCATTTATACATACATTACTGAATGAAATCCATCTGAACTGTAAAGCCTTCATGCACGCCCTTCCCTGCCACGCAGGAGAGGTATGTGATCCTTTATACTGTATACCGATTGTCATTGGACTCAGTCAGACTTCCTCTCTGCACACTGCTGCAGTCCTTTTCAGATAAACAGTCACTCAGTTTTAATAGCGGGCACCCTGTTCTCTCTGAGATAAAGCTTTTCTAAAAGGAACAGGGAGCAAGATCGACTGAATTAATTGCATTCACTTCAGGACAATAGACAACAGCACAGATTAGCTGTTGCCAATTTCCCTCCATGTGGGACAATAATTACCCAATCTATAGCTCAACACTTCATCCCTTCACATTGTGAGAACTGCATAGACATGTTTGAATATCGATGTCCCCGGGTTTCTCAATGTCCCCTGGTGTCTCAGTGTCCCCTCAGCATCCCCTGGTGTCTCGGTGTCCCCTCAGCATCCCCTGGTGTCTCAGTGTCCCATGTTGTCTCAGTGTCCCCTCAGTGTCCCCTGGTGTCTCAGTGTCCCATGGTGTCTCAGTGTCCCCTGGTTTCTCAGTGTCCCCTGGTTTCTCAGTGTCCCCTCAGTGTCCCATGGTGTCTCAGTGTCCTCTGGTGTCCCATGGTGTCTCAGTGTCCCCTGGTTTCTCAGTGTCCCCTCAGTGTCCCATGGTGTCTCCTCAGTTTCTCAGTGTTCACTCTTGATGTGGTTTGGCAAGGTTATATTTGATGGTCCTGTACCTTCTCTTTTGGGAAGTGTCTTCAGCTACAATTTGTTATGAATTCCCGCTATACAAAGAAAGATTGATGATTGATACCCTGCAGGGAAAATGGATTTAAAATGTGTATTTCTCTGAATATGTGGCATGATAACTGGGCTTTTAACTGTGTATTTTTTCAGCATGCAGTTGTCGTCATAAAGGTAGTGCTGATTTTCCTCTTTCAAAACCTAGGTGAAATTTGGACAAATGACAAAAAAGAAGTAAACGGTGTGAAGAATTACCTACTCGAGCCTTACAGAAATGTGTTATTCCTAAGGCATGGTTGGTAATTCTGGAGAACTTGGAGAAATTTCGAACCTGCTCTCTCCAAACACAGAGATAATCTGTCAAGAAAACATACTGATGATCTTTAACAAAACAATTGCTAAATTGATACACATAACGTGATTCTGATTAATGATTAAAAAGAAATATGCATCCCACTCTTGCCAACCCTCTCCATACTTTGCCTCTGAAGTTGTAGTCCCTTTGGTTTCTCTCGCTTCATGATAACATTTTAATATCTTCCCGTGCTGTTTGTGATCGTGTTTGCCAGCACATGTCAGTTTTGTCTTAAGACAAAGAGAGAGAGGAAGATACACGCATATTAATTGACAGATGGCTATACAGTTCAATTTTGTTCTTATTGGTCTAAATTTGAGATTTACAGTGAATCAAGAATAATTACATAAACGAGGGGACGCGAGCTAATTCATGCAGTCAACTCGAGCTGAACTGATTTCCCACTTGACATGTCTCATTCTCAACAATCACCTGACAGTGACACCTGACTATGGAAGCAATTACAATATATAATATATAATTTAAATAATAAAACAGCCTCAGAGATAGGCTTTGTTTTTAATATCAAAGTTTATTATGAAAAGCATAATTTTAAAGTTTAGGGGAACTTTTAAGACAAAAGAGCAGCAGAAGAAGAAGATGACAGGCTTAGTGAAAGTCAGGTTAAACACGTCTGGAACTTTTTTATTATTCATAATTTTGATCCGACATTTTCAGACACGATCAAGCAAATCTGCATCAGATATCACTTGGTATGATTTGTCCTTCCTCCCCGTCTCCGACAGACATCTCCTCTACTTTCTTATTCAGCATGGTCTCTGGTTGTGATGTGCTGTTTGGATTTTAAATGACGAGAAAAGGAGTGTTTCCTTTTTCTCCTTAGATTTTTATACATCTCCAAGGAAAGCAGATGAGGCTAATGCAAGGTCAGTGCATTCACGTTGACTACACACATTTACATTTCATTTAAAATCTTCTTGGAGGTTACATATCCAGGGAGGGTTGTATTGAATCAAAAAATTGGACAAAACAAATATAAGTTTTGGACTGAGGTCAAGTTGTCAGAGTGTACTTACTGGGCTTTTCTATCACTGCAGAGAAAGGGGGATTGAATGTTGGGTCCAAATGAAGAGAGAAACATTTATCTCCTTTGTGTAATGCTGAATCACAACTGTTTCTGTCTCAGTGTTTGGCCAGAATTTTCTCAGCACAGTCAGTGAGACAAGTCAGTGGTTGGTAATACTGATAGGACAATAGGGCTCAGCAGTGTGTTTCCAAAAGTCTGAATCCCATTCATTTCATCCATAGCAGATTTGATCATTAGCCATTATGTCATACCCATCTAAAGTAGACTTACCACGAGCTTCCTGAGTGGGAAACCATACCCTCCTGTAGAAGTCACAAGTTTGTATGCAACCTCGGGGAAAATATTGGTGGAGTCGCAGTTAATATGAAAATGTTTCCCGCCCACTGTGAACCTTCAGCTGTCAGCAGCTCCCACTAAAGTGCACGGAAGTTCAACAAATATAAATTACATTATATTACAATGTTTTATTAACAACATGAATACTAGAAAACAGAAAAATACAGAGCGAAAGTCTTTGTATGTTCAGAAAGAAGCGTACTAAACTATCGTTTGATGGGTCTTGACATTGCAATGGATTGTGGGATTCGTAGTTCCTTCACTCCCGGAAAGAAACTAGGATTTTGAACATTTACTCTGGTTTGTCCTCTTGCTTTATTTACACAGTTTTTCAGCACATCCCTCTCTTCTTCTGTCTTTCTTTTCCTGTCCTGTTAAGCAGGGCTAACATTTGAGCTGAGCCTTCTCTGCCTTCCTCTTGTAAAGGGGAATATCTCCGAGGCTGACACTGAGTTTGATGCTGTGGCAAGGCAAGGGTAAAATACGCAGGGATCCATGGAGGCATTTGATTGGTACTTTCATCTGGAACTCACAGCAATGATAGGTTGGAGTTTTTACAGGATTACAGCAGCTAGAGTTGAGGCCTGTTTTTCAGAGCACATGATTTATCAGTTGCCTTCAGGGTATAAAGTTTTATCGATATAATAAATAGTGTATGCTGGACAAATTACCAACCCAGCCTTTAAGTAAGAGGCTACAGAAAATAACTGTAACAGGCCTGCCCAAAATCTAAACGGTCAATTTATCTGCTACGTTTCCTACAGGTTGTTACAGTCATAATGTTATTTGCACATCACAAAAATCACACACACTGACATAGACACATGAAATTGTGTCACATGTTGGAATAGAATTGGTTGGTATCCGCTGATCTGATACAGCCTTTCTGCACAGACAACCCAGATTAAAGTTTGTGATGAATGACGGATTGTTTCTTCCTGCAAAAAAGATTTGGGTTTTAAAAATTAAAATAAGCTGCTTTATTTTAGGGGGTGAGTGAGGGCCATTTGTGATCTGTAGGACGAGGGGAGTATGCAAAATACAGAGACAACATACGGGTTAATACTGTAGTGCACTAACTGGATTGATGAAGTTTAACCCCCGGGCACGCGGCTGCCAGCTGTTCCACCCCCCTGGCGGTGGGTCAGCACACACCCTGATGGGTGGAGCAGGATGGGAGGGGATGCCTGGAAAGTGAGCGGATCTTCTTAGCTTAGTGCAGATTGCCGCAGCGAGAGGACTAGGGGGATGCTGAGCCTGAGGGAGCTTTAAAACATTGCCGTGGATCTGATATTTAACACAGCATCCCATCCAGCCCTGGATTTTTCCTTTAACCAATGTTTTTGGCTTTGGTTTTCGTCCTCTCACCTGGATTTTAGGCTTTTGGTCGGGTTCATTTATGGGTTGCTGGTAGGACGAAGGACAGGTGACTCAAGATGGCCGTGGCTTTGGACGCAGTGTGGGTGAGGGTGAAGAACGTCTGCAAACAGAATGGGCTCCTCATCATGTCGGTGCTGGCCGTGGTCATTGGCTGTCTTTTGGGATTCTTCCTGAGGACCAGGCGTCTCTCAGAGCAGGTCAGTCAGTCCCCTCCCTGTGACGTCATGTAGACACAAGATGGGGATTGTCAAAACAGCCCTGGAGCATCACTCTAAGTGATTCATCTTATTTATTCCCCAGCTTAATACATTCAGGCTACTACAATTTCAAACTGATACCAAACTACATATTGATGTTCCCTCCATCTCTTTCTGTCTTTAATTGCATTTTAAGCCCTGAGTAGTCATGGCTACTTTTCATTCATGATAATCATATAAATACTGAATGTAAAAACAATTTTGAGGTACTTGTACTTGTCTTTTTATTTCCAATCTGCCACATGCTTAGTCTCATGTAAAATATGTTGCATAACAACTTCTCAACCCTGTACAGACAGTGGCCAACAAGAGCAGACATGCTGTCACGACGAGCAGAAAATAATTAATTCAGAGAAACAGGTTTCAAATTTAGAAACCAAAACTATTACAAAATGGTTACAAAAGACTTGAATAATACAACAAAAAGAAAACTGTTGAAAATGAAAAAAACAACCAGTAGACATATCTCATCAAATTAGCTGATAACACACAGCATTGCAGAGTCGTAAAACCACACAAACCCAAAAACAAATGCAACAGAAAAATGCAGGAAATGCAATTTTTTTTTTATCATCATCTTAAAAAAATACATTCTGCATTATTTCATTATTTTTAATGGCACCTGGGTGTGAGGCAGTATTACCATCAGAGAGTGTCCATAGTGGTTCTTAGAACTTTTTGCTGAGCGCCATTAAATAACCAAAGGATAAAAAAGCTCTCGTGTCAGGTTGAAGAAATAACGTGTTTCAGACTGTAGAGCTGCTTAATAACATAGAATCTCTTTATTTAAGGAACAATATTTTAAACTGAAAATTTGTCAATAAAATAGGCAAAGCTTAATCTCTAAGCTCGTTAATGTTGATATCATAGACTGTACATATTCATGGACAAAGCCTGAGTGACGTCACCCATCTCTTACTGCAGGGGGGGCTAGGGCAGCCGCCATGCTGGGGGATCCTGTCTCAGCCTACCTTTTAGACAACCTAATGACAGGCTGAGAGCTGGAGCTGAGGCGGGTTTTAAACCTCCTGACCAGAGGCAATTCCAGAGTCTGTTGGAGCCCTAGGCAAAAATGTATTAGGGGCCCCTCCAACCACTATTATATCTACCTGATGCTCTTCCTCTTTATTTTTTCACTCCCAAACGGATAATCCCTCTTCATCTTCCTTCAGTGATTTTCATTGACAAACTTTGGTTTTCACAGGTGAAACAAATGAGATGCTCAGCAGGGCAATGAGAGTGAGTGCTGTCAGATGGGGCCCCATTAGGGAGGTTTCCTACAATTTGCACATTTTGACCTACTGCTGTGGCCCCTAACTGGCCTTGGACCCCAAGCAGTTGCTTGTCTTGCCTGATGACAAGCAGCGCCTCTGCTCCTGACGAACAGTTAAACCACGCCCACATGTCAGTCAGGTCAGCTACACGTCTTATTGTAAATACCTCTTATTGTTCTTAAAATCAAAAATGGATCCATTATTTAAAAAGTCATCCCTGGTACAGTGTGTGTCCATGATGACAATAACTAATCAGATCAATATTGTTATATATTGTTCTAGGCTTTAAACGTGTTTATTTTTACTGTAAACAACAGGCTTTATTTAATGTGGTGTGTATGTGACTTACGGGGTTCCTGGAGCCAGCCTCAAGCAAACCCTTGAGGAACTGCAGGATCTTGCACTTCCTCATTGGCTTCATTTTTCAACATCAGAGGTAACTGCTTGGTTGATATCCATTACGTGTTAGCATCAAGCTAACAAACTAAGATGTACATCCTGGTCCATCTGTGGATATTGAGTAATTCCAATAATTGCCAGTGACTTCTATGTAGCCATTCTCCATAGAAACATTTCTTCCAGTGCCTTGATATCAAGGGACATTGGAAGAGAGGCAGAGAGAACTCCCATGATTTCCCGCCAGCCTTAATGTCATCTTGTATTGATTGAGAATCTACATACTGTGCCTTTAAAGGTAGTTAATTCAACTTTGAAAGAGAACATTAAATTGAGGTTTTAATTAGTCAGTACATTGGGAAAATGAAGAATTTTGCAAAATGTCTAACCTAAAGAAAAAGTAAAATGACTATGTGTGAAGGACATTTATCTGATACCTGTGATATCTGTGTCATTGACGCATTTCATTAGATTGCAATCTTTTACTGTAAGAAGCTTTTATTTTCAAAACAAAGAAAAGCTTTAAATCTCTGCCGGTTGACTTTTCCTCAGTGACACAGTTTGTTTAATGGAAGGCCAGCCATCACAAACTAATGCTTTGCAGCCAAATACACATTTTTAAAACAATCAATAACCAGAAGAGCAGAGTAAAGCCCAGAGTTCACTAATCTGATACGCAACAACAAAAACAAAAAACTTTGTAGTAGTATAATGGACAAGAACTGTCTATGTTCTGCCCAAAAATATATTCCAAAATGTATCTGTTAATGTGACTCTAAATCAGTTGGAGATTAATCAACTATCTTTCCAAAGTTCAGTCTCTTAAAATAAGAATAATCCTCCTTTGTGTTACCATCCCCGTGTTGCAGCTCAACGGGGGAAACTCAGTCAGTGGAATCAATAAAAGAGCATCTTGTACTTTTGACTGACACTCCGCTGTAGCCTCATAATTACTCACATTTGCATGTGAGAAAAAGTGTGGATTTGAAAAGAAAAAGTACAAACAAACAATTTCAAGTATATAGAAAACTTCATGCAAGAGTTTAAAAACCTGTTTCATGAAATATGTAGATGGTAATTTATTTACAACTTAGAGAACTATGCAGCCTGTCACAACACAGCCAGAATTTAAACATAAGTCCCGCCCCTGATAAAGTAAAAATCCAATCATAGTTTGGGATCTTGGGATGGCACCTGGGGTGACCAATCAGATATTAAGGGTGCCCCTTGCCACCCCTCTGGACACCCCCCTGAGAAGAGCCTGTCAGTATAGATAGATAGAAAGATAGCCCAGATAATAGAAATCACAACCTTTCCCTTAAAGCTGTGAAGGCAAAAATATAGCAGGACAACTGGTACAAAAAAATTAGTTAAAGTTGATCTTGTTAATTTTGTCGGGCCCTTTACATGAAAGGGTCCATAAAAGAGGTAGGCCTGGTGTCCTAAACATCTGGATCAGATTGCCATTGGAAACTTTTTGTGAAGAAACTACAATCTAGAATATTTTTTACATTACTTCTACTATGACTTGGCAGTGAAACACTAACAACTACATGACCATTATAGTCTCCTTTTTTTAAGAAGCTCTCTTGAATACGTGAGATTTTTGAAGAAGCATATCTTGAAGGACGAGTAGCCCCCATCAAAAATGGCTCCCTGTACTGGACAGTAGCACTTGTTGGTGGGTGGCACTATTCAACAGAACACCAGTTTAGAGGTTTGTCTTTCCCATGTATGGAAAGAAACTATATCCCTTAGGTGGTGGCTTCAGATTGGACTTAAAACTAAAATCAGGAAAGGCTTGCCATTAAAAGTGTCTTAAAAAGGGACTAAAAAGAAATTCCTGAGTCAGCTGACCTGATCCCCTCCGGCAGATCGTCTGACAGTTTTGGAGCCCTCACAGTAAACGCTCTGTCCTCTTTAGTTTTTAGTCTGGAGTTTGCAATGGTCTGAAGACCTGAGCCCAAGGATCTCAATGCACGTGTCGGCTCTCATGTACTAAAAGGTCTGATAGGTAGCTGGAAGAAAAGCCATGGAGAGCTTTAAAAGTCATCAGTAAAATCTTAAAAAACAATTGTAAAGCATACAGGGAGCCAGCGTAAAGATGCTAAAACAGGAGTGATGTGGTCGTACTTTCTGGTTAAATGCCTGGCAGCTGAGTTCTGGATCGATTCCAGATAAATCAACATATGACTTAAGTCCAGAAGAAAGAGGACAATTCATGTTCAGTATCTGACCAAGATTGACTCAGGCATTCACCCAGCCAATTCTCCTCTCTATATCAGCTTCATTTCTGTCCATTATTTTTCTTTGACTGGTTAATGTATAACTCACTGTGAAGCTATATCTAGAGAAAAAGAAATCAAAGGCTCTTGTAGTCTGGGTGACATAAATTCCTTCATGGGGAACGGACCTGATAAAAAAAACTGTGACAGACATAAAGAATATCCATATAGACATGGTCAGTGTTCTTGGTAGTGGTCTGGTTTGCTTTAGTAGGTCCTAAAGAGGCATCAATATTAAAGTGAGTCAGTTTCATAACAAGTTAAAATATTCCTCATGGAGGGCTTAAACCTCTTTAGCACATACAAAACTGCCTTGGAGTCTGAGGAAAAAAAAGTGTTTATGCCAAATTAACTTTACGTTTCAAACTGTCAGTCCTCTATGTTTTCAAATGGTCTGACATTATTGGAAAGTTATTAAATTAAAGCTGCAAGAGGTAAAATATCTGCTCCTATTGGCTGCATTCAGCAGGTACAACTCTGACATACAAAAGAAACTGTTTCAGGTTGTTATGATTGCTGAACCGTATAACTTCCCTTTGACCTTTGAATTAGCCAGACAGAAGCTGAAAGTGGTGCTAATTGGAGTTCCATGCAATGAATGTGTGTGTGTGTGTGTGTGTGTGTGTGTGTGTGTGTGTGTGTGTGTGTGTGTGTGTGTGTGTGTGTGTGTGTGTGTGTGTGTGTGTGTGTGCGCATGTGTGTGCCATGCATGATTTTGAGCAACTAAAGGTTGAAGACATCGTAATAATCAGTGTGTCTATATAGTCAAGCTAAAACAAACCCCCACGCTCCAAGTAAATTAAAGTCATAGCGTCAGTAAAATTACTCCATAAGCACCTCCATAAACAAAACGCATTATTTTCTTTCCCATCCGCCACCTGTCCAAAGCTCTGTCCCATTCTCAAATAGGCCTAAATATAGCCGTGACGCCTCTACTCTCGCAATAGGGGATTACAATCCAATCAAACAAAATGCTTTTTCTCAT